CCCTGGACAGGTCGCCAGTCTGTCGCAGGGCAACACAGAGACACACACACACTCATAACTACGAACAATTTAGAGAAGCCAATTACACTAAAATACATGTTTTTGTACTGTGGGAGGAAGCTGGAGAACACGGAGAGAACCCATGCATGCTCAGGGAAAACATGCAAACCCAGAACCCCCTTGCTGCAAGGGAACAGTGCTACATGCAGCTCTTACGCTGTATTATTACCTGAAATCACCAGCTTCATCACAATAAGATTTGTTAAGCTAATGTTAGCCCTTATCCCAAAGTCTGTCAAAATAAAACTTTCATTCAATTTAGTTCACAAGTCAGTGATACAATATCATCTGCCCATCTAATACATTTATTGGCAGTGATATGGACTCACAAACAAATAACTCAAACATGATTTGACCATTTTAATCCTGGACTCTTACAGGCATCAAGCACTGAAATCAAAAACAGCTTAAATCTTATTATAGAAAAACATTAATAGTTCACTTGTTTACTTTAATCCCGAACTTTTTTAAATTTTAAAATAAAAATTTATCATAAAAATTATAAAGTGGATCAATGTTTGAATTTTGCATCAATGGGATTAGATCGTTAATCTTTAGATTAATGTATCAATGTGGATGCATGTATTGCTAAATGTCTAACACTGATACTGTAACATTGATGCAGATTAAAAACATTCTGCCTTTCCTCTTAGAGGATATGTGGTCATCAATAGTATATGATCACAGTTTGGTGATTGGCACCAAAACACTGAGCAAATTTTTTATTCTTCTGTTTCTATTTCTACTTCTAAAAATGTCCGTCCATCTGTGATCTGAAGCAAACAGGCTAATTAAACCACAAACCAAATACTGTCATCGGAGCAGAGGGACTCTTTCCAAAAAGCTAAAAATATTATTAGCATTGAGAGTTTGCAGGCATGGCCCATAAACAATAAGAGCTAACTAAATGCTAAATCCAAGGGGTCCTTTGTGTTTACGATAGTGCATTAAAGATAGCAATATTGGTTATTCTGCAGCTGTAAATAAAAGACAAAAAATATTCCTCTTAGTTGTTAATGATTTTTAAAAAATTATTTATTGCCTGTAAACAAATTAAAAACAGAGGCATGAAAATATCTTATTAGTTATAAGCCTTGTATGAAATAAATGAGTTATCTTATAGGACAATAACAGTATTTCAATATAAACAGCCTTATATTTGGGGCTTTTTCCTGTTTTCAAGTATCTATACACCACAAATGTCATGTCAACATTGAGCTAATAGTTTTAGTTTTTCAGCCAAGCAAAGTTTAGTTTTCATAATTTCATCCTGCATCAATTTTACAAAAGATACACAACTAATATAATGTAAATTTCTGTTAAAGCAATTTTTCCCCAGTCTCTAAAGCTATTGTTCTTTTAGTTTGTCACAATTGTTGTTTCCTTTTGTGCAAGAACAACTCTGAGGATCTCCACTTGGTTTCACCTATGAAATAAGATCAGCCGTTTTATGAACAATAATTGATCCCATCCATGCCTTATTAATTTATGTTTATGTTTAAATGATTATGCTTTGTATTATGCATGTATAGTTTGTTTTTATTAATGTTTAAAGCTGGGTGACATTTCTTTTTTCACGGCTGCTTTTGCACAGCAGGTTATCAGTCATTTTCTAAATAATGTTGCCTATGCTCAACCTTGGCAAAAACATGAAAAGTTTTTCTTTATTACCTTTTTAAATTAAAGACAGTCTGACATTTTGCTGACGCGCCAAATAAAAGAAACTTTCCTAAAAAATATGAAACCACATCCCTGATTTCGCAAACAGAAATAACACCAGCTATCAACATATAATGCAATTCAGTCATATCCATTAATGGTTATACGACTTTAAAACATATTTCCACTATTTTAATAAACATTGCATTCTTTCATTACATTTGTCGCCCAAATATTCCTTAAAATTGTCATAAATGTGCAAAGGATTATGTTGAGGGTTTTCTATGTGAGGTTTTTTATTGCGTTTTTATCAAAGTTTTAGCCTTACCCAGATCCTACATATCTCACCTGGTTAATTGGATTAACAGGAAAAAAAAAAACAAGCCAAGCAGATTGAGTGATTTCCAGTTTTAGTGTGATTAACATGTTTGGATGTTTAATTTTATATTTTATACATTTTAAAGCCTTTTTTTATTTCTTAGACTTAGATTTATTTGTCATTTTGTTTACACAAGTGTAAAACAAAAATAATTTTTTTTTGGAAACAGGTCTCTGGACAATTTCATCTTATTTAAAAGTATATACAGGGGCGGACTTACCATTAGGCAAAACTAGGCAGTTGCCTAGGGCCCCGAGTTCCTGGGGGGCCCCCTAAAACTCATTTTACATGTATGGTTAATTCAGCAATTACTTATTTGAGCACATTAATTATGTTTTTTTTAAAAATGCTTTCGCTAAAATGGCATTAGAATGCTTATAATATTAAGTGTGTTTCGGGGCCCCCCCTACAGTGTCCACTACATTGGTTCAGTCCATTTGCTGCGCATGGGCAGAAAGGTCCAAACACACTGCAGCAAACTATTTGAAAAAACAAACGGCGCGAAGAGACGAGACGAGCAGAGCGGAGAAGAGAAAAGAAAGGAAAGAAAAAAGATGAAAAGAAGTTACCCTAGCGGTGCTGAAAAGAGGAGAAAAAAAGAATGAAAGTAGGAAGCTGCTTTCAAAGTTACCAAAAATGACTGAGTTCGGCTTCTTCACTGCGGCAGCGGCGAGCAGCAGCAGCAGTAACCTGCCGCAAACAGCTGAAAACTCAGCGGCAAGTCTGGCACCTGTTAAGGAGGATCCATCGTGTGGAGTTGAACAACTAGTGAGTATTAAGCTGTCGAAGGGGACATTCCCCCTATATTGATAAGTATTTATTTACCTTATTGAAGATGGGTCATTTTAAAGTAAGTTTCTAATTTCATTTGGATTTGCTACAAACGATGAAAAATCTATTATTTAGGTGTTTTTAATGTTCAATTTCAGGAAAATCTCAGGCTTTTAAATGTTGTAAAATCACCCATAAGTTTTAGGTGTTTTAGTCTTTAATAATTTAAGTTATACATTCAAAAAACATAAGGAATTATTACCAACATCTCACTCTGCTTTACAGCTTTGTATTGACACTGATTTGATGTGTTTTATTGTGCACAGCTTGGGATGTTAAGGGTCACATTAATTATAAATTAAATAATTTACTGTTCTGTAGTTTAAGCAATTGTCATTTGTAACATCACTAGTCTTTCCTGTGACATGCACCTTTTATCTTTTATTTATTTATATATATTTTTTTTTATTTATTTATATATTTTATTTATATATATATATATATATATATATATATATATATAATTTTCAATCCACTGCAGAAGAGACCTAAAAAAGAGAGTTTTTCTTGCCTCTAATTGACATTAAAGGAGAGATTTTCACACATGGAAACCTTTTATGAGCTTTATGGATTTCTCTACTCCACTGATGTCATGAGAAGCACTGAGAAGGAAGGGAAGCTGGATGAATGTTGCCAGAGACTTGAGCAGACGATGGATGACATTGATGCAGAGGATATGAAACTTGAGGTAAAGGGAGCAGTTAGATCCTTCCCTATACATATCTCATCACCATCTGAGATGCTAGATTATATCTATAAGGAGAATATCCTAGACCTTTATCCAAATATGAGTATAGCTCTCAGACTTCTGCTCACTCTACCTGTGAGAGTCTCTTCAGGTGAGAGAAGTTTCTCAAAGCTGAAGCTAATTAAAACATATCTAAGGTCAACAATGTCACAGGAAAGGCTGTCTGCACTCGCTGTTCTCTCCATTGAGCAAGAAGTCAGGAAGTCAGTGGATATGGATCTTCTCATTGCAAGATTTGCTGAGGCCAAGGCTCGAAAAAAGAAATTTTAGGGAGAAAGAGAATACAACCACTAGGAAAAAGGGACAAAACATTAAGAGGAAAACAACAAGAAAAGGGGACAGGAAGAGAAAAAGGGGGAAACAAGGAGGAATATGAGTAAAAGAAACAAAAGAATAAGAAAGTCTCAGTCTTTTTCTCAGACTGAGAAAAAGACAGGAAGAGAATAAAACAAAAGAAAAAAGAGTAAAATGAAACAGACATGAAAAAAGGACAGGAAGAGAGGGATAAAAGGTAAAATAATGCATGTTTATTCTCTTAAAATGTCAATTTGTATAATTGACCTGTTGTTTTGTGTGTTGTTTTCTCATTTCAGATGGCCCCGTGCCTGCCTTTGCCTAGACTACTACAGAAAGGGACAAAAGAACACAGAAGAAAACCACAACAAAAAGGATAAGAAGAGAGGGACAAAAGGTAGAACAAATAATCTAAGTCTATTCTATTATAATTTCTGTATCTGCATACTGAGTCTGTTCTATATGTTGTCTTCTCAATTCAGAGGGCCCCATGCCTGTCTTTGCCTAGGGCCCCAAATTTCCTAAGTCCGCCCCTGAGTATATATATATATATATATATATATATATATATATATATATATATATATATATATATATATATATATATATATATATATATATATATATATATATAACAGAAAATGTTCCATTATTTATATTTAGCGTTGCATGTTTTATTTAATGATAATTTTATTTATTAGATGTTTGCAGTTGTAGCCCTTCATAACTAAGTATTTACACATGCTGGATGCTAACTGTGCTAAAAGCAAGTAGCTCACCTACAGACTCTGTTCTGATTGGCTCTCGTGTTGCTACTGTCTCTACGGTAACTGCTTCTTTAAAGCTAAAGCTAATCTTTGAAATTATCGACCACAGAGGGTAATATTATCCGTGCCAAGTAATTTATCTCATTTATTTCCCTCAGCTGTTCAGGAAGCCCCCCCTCCTCCCCTAAGCCACCTACAGACAGGTAACTAAAAATAACCGCTGTCCTTTCAGCTTCACATAAACATGACCAAACAAACTCACCCATATTATCAAGCTCTCCACCAGCGCCGTTTTACTGTTTTCCATTTGTTCCCCCCTTTGGTAAGAAAAAGGAAATAAAAGAGAACAAAAGCAAACGTAAAATCCTCTCCTCCACCTGTTTCAACGAAGCTCTTCCGCTCTGCTCCGCCGCATTTGACCTCACCTGCTGCCAAAGGTAAACTGCTGATGAAAGGTACGTAGTCCAGAAGCGACCAAGCACGATTTACGCCAAGAAATTACGTAAAAAATCTATGAATGGCGCGGCTGCTAAACTACTCGGCGTACTGTTGCTTGCATGTTTCAGGGATCCGGATCTGACCAATCAGGACTAAGCTTAGATATGATTGTCAACTCCTTGGCGCGTAGTGACCAATCAGAAAGCAGAATTTGAAGCGTAGATCCACCCTTGTTCTTAAAGAGCGATTAAAGCGTTTTACCCTGCCTCCACTCACAGCACAATTGCAACTGTGTGTAGAGGTTAAAAACTCCAAGGAAATGTAAATAAACCAAACTTTTCAGAATCATTTGAAAACATATATAAGTGCTGAAAAGAAAATCTGATATAAAAAAAAGTAATTGAGTCAAAATAAGTTATAGCCAATACATTTCCAATATTTCTCAAATAGTTTTAATGTATTTATTACATCAAAAAAGGGCTTCCCTTAATTTTTTTACTGGCATTAAATAATTTAACCTAAAGTAGGCTACAAGGCAGTTTAGCCCATTGTTTAACGTTTAGTAAACTAAAACCTTAGGAATGTTAATCCTTTTAGTAGTAGATGGTTATAGGATAGCACTGTTTTGCCTTTTAAACTTCTTGTTCTAATCCCGTGTTCAGTGCCAGGCAAAAACTTTCTATTTAAAGAAACATGACTGCATTTTATTTAGACTTAAATTAATTAAATAATTTTAATTTTACTGTAAAACAAACAATTTAAAGCAAATCAAAACAGTGTTTCTAAAACTAATAAAAAATATATACAGACTGAAGGTTTGATAAGTGCAAAAGGATAAAATGCAGGTTCTAAGTGGGAGCCTGCATAACAACACCTTTTGCAGATAGTTGCACAGAGGTCGAATGGTTCTGATTCTAATGGCGGAGTAATAAGTAGAGAGTCTCCAACAATGTTCAAGCAGTCTTTATTCTCCAGCAGCTTTGAGTCCCCAAATTGAGGAAAAACAGACACTGCAATGAGTTTTTCAGCTCCCATTCTGGAGTTCCCCATATTTAAGCTAATCCATTACAATAATTAGGGAAGGATATAAGAATCAGAAACAAAAAATCAGAATGTGCAGCTTGGATTGGCAATCCAAGCTGCACAATTTGGGCATATTCAAGTTTTGTCAAATGCTCTCCCATAAAATAAAAAGGTCATCTATAAAAAAGGACAGTGGCTCCAGAAAGGAGGAAATTTAATGGCAACGTCTGAAGTTCTCATTAGATCCGACCTGTCAGCCAGATTTAGAAATATAAGTAAAACTCTTGCATGGTTTCATCCATCTAATGTTAGTTTGACATGTTTAGAACTTTTTCTTGCCGTTAAAGAGATTTCCGATAGACTTATATCAACAGAAATTTCTAGAGTGTGATGTAAGACTGGACATCGCCCACTTAGCCTGCAGGGACACACCCTCTGCGCCAGCTTTCAATGTCTGTCAGTGAGCGTTCATGTTTTATCTGCTGATTTCTGCCACTCTGTGACACTGACCCTCACTGACTGATAGAGACTATTTTTAGATGGCCTAAAGCCAACAGACTCCAGCTTTGATCTGGAGTGCCAGAGCAAATGTTTATCAAGGTAATTGTGCATTGCCAGCTCTCCTGAACTATGTGGGGGTTGTTGTATCCAGGTTCAATGTCAAGTTCTCTGAGAAAATTCTGATGCCGACATCTGACATCCGCTGCAGTATCAGGAGCACCACAGGGGCTCATTTGTTCACACGTATATTTAAAATAATGTCGTGCAAAAACACTGGTGTAATGACTAATGATGGCCTGTATAGGAGTTGAATTTTGGGGGGTAGAACACTTGGGGATTTTTGTCCTGCTGAAATTCAGTATAAACAAGGAGATAAAAAAGTGTGGTGTTGGCCTGATGGAAGTGACCTCTGACCTTTCATCCTTTATCTCTGTTTGGCTGAGCATACAGAACCAACATTGGTTGGTGTATTTCTATAATGGAAGGTGAGTTTTCTCTTCATCTCTTCAGACCCCATCCTAAACCTCTGCTTTGCTTTTAACGTGCTTCACTGTAAAAGCTTTTTTTGGTTGTTTTTGTAGATGTCAGCCTTCCCAATGATTTTAACTCAGGCACAGATGAATTTCAATGAAGCCTTTAAGGCACAAAAATGTCCACTGGATCTGATGGATTCTGCATATCTCAGTTGATAACATTAAAGATAAACCAAAAGCAATGTCTGATTTTTATTCAAGTCTGACCTGCTGGGATTCTGTCCAGAACAATCAGCTTTTTGAAGAAAAAACTTTTTTTTTTTTTTTTTTTTGTTTTTTTTTTTTTTTTAGTAAAGTTAAAATAAAAAATTTCTAAATGTCCCTTTGCTTTTAAATTGTACTTAAAATCTGAAGAATTTATTTCTCTTTTTCAGATTTCAGGAAAATTGTGCTGTTGCATCCTATTAACGCAAATATAAAAGAACAGCAAAGTGATTTGATTTGAACAGAAAAAAAAAGATCTGCAACAAGTTCTTCAATTAATCTTGTAGTTTTGAATCCAATTATCAGTTAATAAAAAAGATCTGTTAAAGAAAAAAGTTTTTTTAATGCATTTAGATATCTTAAATGTGTTAATTGTATAACAAGATATAAAAGGGTAGATTAACTTTTCTGAATGCAAGTTCACAGTCTGTATCTTTCCCAGGTTAGAAAATATGTCTAAATAATAAAATGTAAGATAACTAATTAAGGTGAGTTGAATGTCTCTGGTTTTGGTCATCTTTTGGATACTGTTTCATAGATTTAACAACCAGGAGTTCATTGTGAGAGAAATATTGTGTAAAGAGGGTTTTTGGCACAGCAAACGTAAAGTAAATGATTGGCTAATTCAGATCCCAACCACCAAACAAAGCATGAAGGGAAACTTACACTGACCTCATTTGATCATATGACTCAAACAGTGAAGGTACACATTTTCATTCCTCAATAAGATTATCCAAAAACCTTCGTTATAACAGTTTGATTTAAACTCAAATTAGACCTCCTCTTTGCTATAGTCGCTCTACACTCTTATTGATCAGACTTTAGCAGCGCTCCCTTTAAGCAGAAGGACTCCAGCTTATACTGGAGGGTGAAGGTAATCATTAACAAGCAACACGGATTTATTTTCTGCTGCATTGCTGTCAGCCAACACTTTGCTTCCCGCTAGGAAACCGAGACCAAACCTTTCCCTTCCAAACGCTGCTGCCTTTAGAGGACCTGCCTCTGTCTCACAGGTACGTTGGACTTCCTCCTAAACAAAAGTCTTAGTGCTGCTCTTTCTAAAGTTAATTCATTCATTTATTATTTGAGAAATTTAAGCTCAGAGTTGATCTTTGGGGGGTGACGTGTTTTATATAATATATTCAATTATTTTGGGAGTTATTTCTGATGTTTTTATCATACTGCTGTCAGTTCTGATTTATTTAATAGATTTTAACATTTAAAGCTTAAATTTAATGTTTTACAATTGTCAAATGAAGGACATACAATAATGATTTAAATGGAGGTGTTAGTTTTTTATGTTAGATCATGCAGGTAAAGGGTCAGACTGCAGCTTTCAGAGCATCAGTATCAGTGAGCGACAATCAGAGATGTGTTGATCTTAGTCAGCCTTATCATACTCAAGTGAGAAGTGGTGTGTAAGTATCTACCCACTAGCTGAGATATGACCTTATGTTTATGATGCACTTACCTTGGTTATCATGTCATTTTGCAGACTGGATCATCTGCACCCTGAAGCTTTATTGGGTCAGAATCACCCGGCGTCATCCTCAGCATCGACCTGCAGACTCGAGCTGCTCATCATGCATGCAAGCTGCCTTAAGGTGAGAGTCATGGTGACACATGGTTGCAGTTACACCTGCGTTCTGCAGGTTCTTCGGTACGTGATTATCATCACGCCACCCATCGTACGACTGTAGAATAAACACAATCTTTATTAGGGGTTGTAAGCGGCTTCAGAGGGTTGTTGCCAAACAAAGTTTGTTACAATCCTCCCTGTTCCTCATGTGAGCTTAATCCTTAACCAAACACAAAATCTCAAAAATTGTTTTTGCGTACGTGTTTGCTGTGTCTCAAGAGAAAATCAATCGAACTTGTCCAGATGACATCCTTAATTTAATGGGGTTTTTTTTGTTCTTTTTTTGTTTTTCTGTCCATGTGGTTCCCTTCAGGAATCAACGCAGGCCTGTCCATCCAGGAGCACGGGAGACTGCAGCTGCCCCGTGTGTCTGCAGACGGCTACATTCCCAGTCCAGACCAACTGTGGCCATTTATTCTGTGGTATGAGATCACAAAAACACGCAACCTGGCCCACCTCTGTCAGAGTTTACTTAACACAAACCCTTTGATTATTTTTACACTTCTCATATTACAACTTCACATTTCGATTCCTTTCAATGAATGATATTTCTTTTTGGTTTTTCTAAACTTTAGAACTAAAAATCTAATACTGTGGCCAGAAAAAGAAAAAAAGGCAAATAGGACAATCTGTAAGCAGGAACAAGGAAGCTGCTCCAAGTCTATAGGAAGAGTAATTGAGCTTCTACATGAGGGCCAATCCTGAAAGTTTTGTTGACCCTCAGCCGGGTGAAGATCTACTGCATGAAGTCAGATTTATGACAGAAAGGTTTAGATCAAAGCATATTTATGAGTTAGGCTGGCTTATTCAAGGTCCAGCTCCAAATGGTAATGTTTGTAGCTGCTCTTCATTTATTCTGATTATGCTTCAACTGTTTATCAAAGCAGAACGGGCAAAATGTCTCTAGATGTTTAAGGTTGGAACAGAAGTACCATAATGAACCAGAGGGTTGATCTACAAAGTGTTTAAATAATTAAAAACATGTCTTTTTTTATCACTTCATAGTTAAATCCAAATGGAAACATTAAAGTGGGATTTTTTTAACCTGACAAAAGGTGAAAAAGTTCATTAAGTGTGAATACTTTGTAAGGTACAGTATATCATTTGGTCAATGAGTGATTTAGACTCTGTGCAGCAGCTACAGA